TGTGTGTATATATATCTCCTCAATATATGTTTCACTCTATATGCATCCGAAGAAGTGGGCTGTAGCCCACGAAAGCTTATGCTCTAATAAATTTGTTAGTCTGTAAGGTGCCACAAGTACTCCTGTTAGGAGGGTTAGTGAAGCTGTGGGAGCCAGGGGTGTAGGCACTTGCTCTGTGGATTCTGCAAAGCTGCAGGAGGTGCTCTCCCATGCTGAGTTTAATCCTGTTACAGTCCCAGGTGGGTCTGATTAAGTAAAAGAGCCCCTGGGGTTCCGCCGTCTAATCTGCACTGGTTACACAGGATGTTGGCAACAATTCTGAGCTGTGGGGGACCGGAGGGTCGAGGGGGCTAGGAAAACGGAAAGTGTTGCCATCCAGTATGTTCTCTCTAGCCCACAGGGGATCTGCCCCTTCCCTTGTCTATTGTGTTGCTGCTGTATTCACCCCCCATCCAGAGTGTTTGGCAGGGAAGGGAGGAGTTATGAGCCTAGCAGAGCAGGACTGGCCTGGCTGGTGACAGCTGGGAGATGCTATCAGCAGGCTGGGTTGGGATGAAAGGGTTTCAGAGACCCAGCCTCTCCCTGCTCTGCTCCTCTTTGTATCATTAAGGTAACATTGTTCTTTGGAGAAGACTCCTGTCAGAAGCAGAGCCCTGTGTAAGCCTCCTTCCCACAGCAGCTGGCAGCACTTGAAAGCATGAACCTCCCAGGGCTCAGAGTGTTCCTCTCACCTGTGAGGGAAGGGCAGGGCTGGGCTTATGCTCTACCTTAAATTCCAGCCTTGTGGATGCTCACAGACCCCTTTAAAGCCACAGTCCAGCAGTCCCACTTTGTTGCCACTCTATTGAACTCATAAAGGTGCCTCCCCTCCTCCCCCATCCTCCTATTTTTCCTACAGGGCCTGGATTCTGCCATATACTGTGCCTGGGGCAGGGGGTAGCATCTTCATCTGCTGCCTTAAACTCCTTTTTATGAGCCCTAGAAACAACATCTCATTGGGAGAGCCCCCCTCACACACATGCTATGGCAGGCTGGGCATGTGCCTCAGAAACCCAACTGTTCAACAGCATCACTTCAGAGATGCTTCCTGTGTAATAGACAAGGGAGGACAGGATGCACTGGGGGAGCACGCAGGGAGGGGAAGAATTTAGATATATTTTTATGTTGCTAACTCTCTTTCGAACGTCCGGAAGGATGTGAAACTACATGGAGGGGACTGGAATGGGGAGAATTGCCTTGTGTAGGGGATGGGAAATGGAGAAGCTGAATGGGATAATGTGGCTCGGCCCCTGTATTGGGAAGGTTGGTGCTCCTGTGGTGATGCAGCACTGCTCAGCCACAGGTTCCCAGGGTCTGTTCTCACTGATAACCCGAAACTCATCTTCATTGTCGCTTGGGGGCTTGTCCCTTGCTAGCGGGGGAGAGGGAGAAAATGGTCTTTATAGGAACGCTGCTGCAGGCACATAGTGAGTTGACTCCTTTCTCCTGTGTCCAGTGCTGCCTACTTGCTCGCCCTTGGATTTCCACTGTGACAATGGGAAGTGCATCCGTCGCTCGTGGGTCTGTGATGGAGACAATGACTGTGAAGATGATTCTGATGAACAGGACTGCCGTAAGTTAACCCTTCAAGGGGAGGATGACATGCTGCTGAAAGGATGGGTGCTACATTGGCTTGCTGGGCCTCTGGGAAGCTGGCACCCAAATGGTTAACCAGTGTTAACTTTGTTGACACAGGAACATGGGAGTTTTTCCACTCAATCAGACCAATGGCCCACATAATTCCATATGCTGCAGTACCTGATGCTTCAGAGGAGGGTGACCCTCCCCCAGTGCACCTGGCCAGATAATTGTGTAGCTCTTTATTCTGGGGGAGGGGATGCTTCCCGGTCCCAGCTGGAGAACAGTTTACGCCCTGCAGCCTGCTAGTTAATGTCCCATGAAGCACTTCCCCAAGCTTCCCAGGGAGCCGAGCTGCTCGTGTGCTCCTTGTTCATGGAAATGCCTAACCCCTGCTAAATCCCACTAAACTGTTTGTCTGGCTGGTTTCCTGTGGCCTCAGGTTCCACTGTCTGACTCCGCTGCTGTGTGGGGCCATCCTGAGGGTCCTCTCCCTTCAAACAGCTTCACTGAGGAGAGTGTTGCAGGGATATTGCCCTGGCCAGAGGCCCAGTTGCTCTGAAACATGGCAACCTGGCACCACATGAGAGAGCCCATCCACTTTTACTGTACCACAATAGCTCTGGCAGCACCTAAGGCTGTTGTCATGCCAGTAAAGTTAACAGAATGTAAATGGAAATATACCTGATCTCTTGCAGCTCCACCCTCTTCCTTCCGTGCTGGGGACAGGGGTTACTTGGGGATTTTTTTTTTATAAGTAAAGTGATTAAAGTGCCCCTCCCTGCTCTGTGGTTGCCTCATTGCACCCATCTGAATGACTGTCAGCATGTGCCAGAGAACCAGCTTTTCCTGCAGCACACATCAATGACAGCTCTCAGGAGCTGCACCTGACATTAGGGCTGGTGTCTGGCTGCTGTTAGATGCTGAGATGCGTGCTGTCAGGCTAGTGCTCTCAGCTCCTCGACACACACTTCTCCCCAGGTACACTGAGCAATGGGGGAGGAGTGTGCAGGGTGATCCATGTGTATGTGCTCCTGAGCCTGCTCCCAGAGCACCTGAATTGATGCTTTCCCTGATGACCCCCTTCCACCTCCCAGACAACTGCAGAGCTTAACTCATGCCTACCTAGTGCCTTCTTGCCAGTCCTCAGAATGCTCCCCATGGGACTGTAGCTATTTAATGTGGGCTACACCCTGATCTCTGCCTCGTATATAGACTGGGGGTGGGGGAGTGTGGAATTAGGGCTCTGTAGGTTCAAGATTTTGTATGACAGTTTGGCTGTCCAGCTTTCTGGTATCTTTTCCATGCCTTTCTCAATCCATAGAGCTCATTAATCAGGGCCAGCTCACATGGACATTCCTCTAGACAGAGATTGGGATGCCCATAGATTTGGGGTGCAAGTGTTTGGTCATTTATGGCAATATTCTCCGGTTCCATCCCCTACCCCACCTTGGGAGATCAGAGCGGCAAGGCAGGGGTGGTGATTTTAATGGGAACTCTGACACCAAATCCGGTGTCATGGAGAGGGACCCTTCCTCGTGACTGTTACATGGCAGCAAATCTAGGGGAAACAGGAGACCTGACAAACCAATATTATGTGCAGGATCCAGCAGCAAACTCTTGCTCCTGTATGGGGATAACACACAAAAGGGACGTGTTGATGAGAAGCAGCTTTATCCCCTGCAGAGCACAGTGCTGTGGAATAGGGCAGACTTCTCTGGACCTGAAGCCAAGAGCTTGCTTGAGATTATTTCTGCTGTGGGCTTTGGCATGTACTGTTGCTAACTTGTTCAGGTCTGAGCTGTGCTGACCTTTCACCCTCCACTGAAATGCTGAGTTGGGTGTTGGAGGAGTATGGGCTGTGGATAGGCCCTTTCCAGGGAGTAGGGAAGGGGAAAGAGAGAGATTTGGAACTGTATAGGGTTACCATATTTCAACACTGAAAAAAGAGGACACTCCATGGGGGCCCTGGCCCTGCCCCAACTCCGCCCCTTCCCCACCCCCATTCCAACCCCTTCCCCAGAGTCCCTGCCCCAACTCTGCCCCCTCCTCTGAGCACCCTGCATTCCCCCTCCTCCCTCCCGCTCTGATCTTGGTTGGGGGTTGCTAAGTGCTTCCCTGCTCCCCACTCGCCCTGCAGCCCCTGCGCCCCCCACGTGCCCTGCCCCTGCACCCCCTGCCCCTGCAGCCTCTGCACCTCCCCCGCCCCTGCAGCCTCTGTGCCGCCCGCCTGCCCTGCCCCTGCACCCCCCTGCCTCTGCAGCCTCTATGCCCCTACCTGCCCAGCTCCTCCTCGCCCTGCAGCCTCTGCACCCTTCCCCCCCCCCCCCCCCCCCCCCCCCCCCCCCCCCCCCGGCCGCCTCTGCCTGGCGAGGGCTGCGGAGGCTCAGCGGCGACCGGGGCGGCGTGGGTCCCTGCAGCCCCAGCACATGCCGCACTCCCCGCCGCCTCCTTCCTGCCGCCGCCGAGCACGTTCCCCAGCCTGTCCCTGCTGGAACAGCTCCCGTGGCGCCGGGGCCGCGGGAAGGGTTCCCCCAATGGCCGGAGGGTCCCCGCCTGCGAGGGAAGCCCGAGCCGCTGGCTGGGCCCAGCCTCCCTGTGGTCCTGTGGGCTCGGCTGGGGCGCGCGGTCCGCCCGGCCTGCGGGGGCAGCAGCGGCCATTCTGCTGCCTTCTGCGGCTGCGCCGCTCCCCCCCCCCCCCCCCCCCCCCCCGCCCGAGCTCGCTACAATGTAGCCGGGGCGACTGGGCTGCGCTGCAGACCCGGCGGATCGTGCTGGGGCCGGGCAGACCCTGGCTTATGCCTCCCTATTTCTCCGGACATGTCCGGCTTTTTGAAAATTCCCCCCGGATGGGGATTTGAGCACCAAAAAGCCTGACATGTCCGGGAAAATCCAGACGTATGGTAACCCTAGAACTGTGGGAAGGAGGAGGACAAAGTTGACTACATGCGTGAGCTCTCAGGAAGTGTGGGCTGGGTCAGTGAGGTGAGCTGCCCAGTCTGCAGTACAGGAGATTCTTGTCCTAGCTGAAAGTTTCTGTTGGATCCAGTTCCTCTCAATGAGGGAAGGGTCCCCCTGAAAAGTTGCTGATACTGCAGTCCCTTCCTCATTGTCCTGCAAGGAAATCTCTGGGAGGGGATCTGAAGAGATGACTTGGAATCCTGGGCTGGCTTTGGCTCTCTCTAACCACCCCATGTTGTGCTGTGTGATGGGGGATGAGTTTTCCCTTCATGGTGGCACCCTCTTGGAGGGCATTGTTCCAAAGGGCCCATTTGTGCTGGGCTGAAGACTTGGCTCTATAAGGTAAATCAGCTTGTCTTCAGCTCACTCTTGGCTGTGTCCTTGTAGCACCACGGGAATGCGAGGAGGATGAGTTCTCGTGTCAGAATGGATATTGCATCCGCAGCCTGTGGCACTGTGACGGTGACAATGACTGTGGTGACAACAGCGATGAGCAGTGTGGTGAGTGGCATGACCATGTGAATGCCATGAATGGGGTGCCTGCGCAGTCGGCCTAGGACAGCTGCTTACAAAGGGGCTTGCATCCACTCCCATCCACTGGGTGCTAATCTCCTGAAGTATGGTAAGGCCACATAGTTGGATTGCCTGAGATGAGCAGCTGGGGACATGCTTACCAGGGTTACTGCTTGGGACCTGAGGCTGTGGGGCTTCTCTTCCACCCAGCAGCCCAGCCTGGTCTCATTTGTCCATGCTGGGACCTGTTGTTCCTTGACACAGAGCTCTGAATTCTTGAGGATTCCTTTCTAATCCAACACCCAATGCTAAACAGAATGAGCACTGCTGGTGTGCCCAGGCACCAGAGGGCATGGGTGTGTTTGGGTGCCCTGGGGGATTCAGTAGGTGGCACAGGCGTGTTTGGGTGCTCTGGGAGACCTGGGCACAGTGGGTGGCATTGACATGTTTGGGTGCCCTGGGAGACGTGGGCTCTGATTGCATTGCTGTCTCTGGCCTGCAGACATGAGGAAATGTTCAGAGAAGGAATTCCGCTGCAGCGATGGCAGCTGCATAGCCGAGCACTGGTTCTGTGATGGCGATACAGACTGCAAGGATGGCTCGGATGAGGAGAACTGCCGTGAGTATCCGCCTTCCCTCATAGCCTTGGGAGCTAGCTGCTTGCTCCTGCTACCAACCTGGGGCCTAGTGTGCCTTCTGTAATATATGTTGGAAATGAACTGGCCTTGTTTGTGCTAGCAGCTTTGCTGTGTTCCATCCCTGGTGCTGGGGGCCATCATTAGCCCCATGGTGCAGACAAGTACTGTATGTCTCTCTCTGGGTGGTAACCTGGGCTGGCTGCTTCTCCCTTCTGCTGCCAGGCTGGTGTGACCTTGAGCCACAGCCAGGGATCCTGTGCACCACAGATGGGCCATATCATGAAGTGGGTAAGGAGAGGAAGGATCCCTCCCCTCCCCTCCTCCTTTGATTCCTGCAGAGAATTCTAAAGGAGCCCCCCATGCCTGCACATCGTTTGGGGTCCCCCCGACCTTCATCTGTTTACTGGGATAGTTTGTTGAAAATTTTGTCCAGTATTAGCTAAGTGGGTAGAAGAGCTGGGAGCAGTTCTCGGGAGTGTGGGGGAGCCAGAAGCAGCTGTCCCCGTTCTACGGGCCTGTAGCAACAGGGGCAGGATCCTGTTACTCCCCCCACCCCCTTGCTCTTGAGTCTCTGAGCAGCAGTTAGTGTCTGTGGAAGTTGCAGAGCTCCCCTCCCCCACTCGGCTCTCAAGGGCATTTTGCAGAATTTGTTCTAGATAGGAGGAAACTTCAAAAGGCTCTGGGAGGGGGATCAGGGCCTCCAGCTCCTGAAGGGCGGGAGGGGGTATGCAGGGAAGGGGGAGGGGGAGTTGTCTTTTATCTCTCCAGATAATGAGAGCTGGCAGGGAGCCAGAGCTGCAAAGATTTCTGAGCCTGGAAAGAGCTCTGAGAAGAAGCCAACCTCCCTGCCTCCTTCCAGCTCCCCTGCCTGTCCTTACCCTGCTGGCCATGGACAGGCCCTGGGGAAGGGAGAGGGAGACCTCCAACTTCCTGCTGCATGGCAGGATGGGGCAGAAATGGTGTCCCCTCCTCTCAGGCTTAGTTTGTGTTTCTCAAAGCCTGCCTAGTCCCCTTTTCTACTTTCTAACTGTTTTGCAGATAAGCATTTTATTTGGATAGCAGGGTCGGTCTCCTACCCTTTCTCCTTTTATCCCCCTCCCCCGGGCTGCCAGCTGCCTTCTCTTCCCTGAACCCCACTGCTTGCCTGTTCAGCTCTCTATAAGAGTACCTGGAGTCAGTCAGCTGGGCTCCTGTTCAGCATCTGGATATCAGACACTGGCATGAAATAAAGCTTTTACTGGGTGTCTGTTGCCTCTGCCCCATGCTCCCAGCTGGAGGGGCAGTTCTCTATGAATTCCTAGCAGTGGCAGCTTTCAGTCCAGTCCCCATCCCAAAGCCTCTCCATTACTCCAGAGATCACCAAGTTATTAGTTGGGTTCTTCAGCCTCCATGTGCTTAAATGTTGCATTTTCTTCTCTGGACAGTGCCCCACGGCTCCCTGCCCAGGGTGAGAGAGGAATTCAGTCTCCATTGCACTGAACTCTCCAAGAATTTCTTGGCGAGGGCACCTTCCTGTGCAGCACCCGGCTGTCCCAGAGCAGGGCAGCGGGCAAACTCTTGACTCTGAATGTGCCAGGTCCTGCACAGGGTCAGAGTCTGCTGGGAAGGATTTCAGTGATTTGGAGCAGTTTGTTTTGGCAGCATGTCAGGGGAAGCAACGCTTCAAAGGCCTGGTGCAAACCCGGGCACCTTGCTGCTCCACTGCTTACCTTCCCATCACATTTCTGAGTCCTTAAAGGAACAGTCCCATACTTCAGACCTGCAGTCTGACCTCCTACCTTGAACCTCAATAAGGTGAGGTTCATCGCACCACAAAGGCTGACTTTATTCTAAGAGGTATAGGGTTGGGTCAGGCTTGTTGCTTTGAATCCACCCCTCACCCTACTCCCACCCCTTGAGGTATTGTATAAGCTTTTATTATAGGGCAGTATGATCAAGTGCTTTGACCACAGAATGAGGGAGTTAACACTTCTAGGTTCTGTCCCTGGCTTTCCCTCTGTTGCTTCACCTCTCCATGCCTCAGTTCCCCATCTGTAACTCAGAGATAAGCTTGGAGATAAGGCTGGATCTCCGGGTGGTGCTGAGTGGGTTGGTTCCATTGCATGCAGCTGTCAACAGCTTTCCAGTGAAGTGTTTGAGTCCCTGTCAGTGCTGTGGATATGCTGAGGGCTGGAGGGAGGGAGCGAGCCACTTGTGCACATGCACTGCACCTGCTGCATTGGGTGCCTGCCAGGCCCCTCTTGTTCCCATCAACATAAGCATAAACTGGCTTGGTCCCTGCCCTTAGCCTTTCCTTTCCCTTTGTTTCCTTGTTAGCATCAGATGTTCCAGCCACAACCTGTAGCCTGGAGGAGTTCCAGTGTGCCTACGGACGCTGCATTCTGGACATCTACCATTGTGATGGAGACGATGACTGCGGGGACTGGTCTGATGAGTCCGACTGCTGTGAGTCAGCAGCAAGGGAGAGTAATCCCCTGGGTCCCCCCGGCAGCTGATCCAAATGGGAGAATTTGGGAGTTTGGGAAGGTGTCCCTCCCCAGTGCCCTGGCTGGAATTGGTTGGGGAGGGACACTGCCTAGAAGGAAAGTTGGTTTTGTTGGCCTGGGTGGCAGGGTCATTGTCTAGCCAGGAGCCCTAGATACAGGGGCTGAAGCATTCCTGAATGGGTCAATTACATAAGAGCGACCCTACTGGGTCAGACCAATGGTCCATCTAGCTCAGTATCCTGTCTCCAACAGAGGCCAGAACCAGAGCTTCATGTGGAGTGTACGGAACAGGGCAGCTGGAGTGATCCACCCAAGTTCCCTTTCTTGCTTCTGGCAGTCAAAGATTTAGGGTTGCCCTGAGCATGGGGTTCACGTTCATGCCAGTTGGACGTGAGGATGGCCTGGGGGGAATTGAAATGCCTTGGTACTAACGTGCTGTGCCCTCTCTGCAGCATCTCACCAGCCGTGCCGCTCTGGGGAATTCATGTGCAACAGTGGCTTGTGTATCAACGCAGGCTGGCGGTGTGATGGCGACTTTGATTGTGATGACCAGTCAGATGAGAAGAACTGCAGTGAGTGCCTGGGATGCCAGGCAGAGGCCTGGTCTGTGGTGGTGATATGGAGTGGAAGGGAATTAGGGTATGAGGCTGGTGGGTTAGATTATAATTGTTCTGTATCGTTGTTTTTCCTGTGTTTCTCCAGCCACATCCATGTGCACAGCTGACCAATTCCGCTGTAAATCTGGGCGCTGTGTCCGTCTCTCATGGCGTTGTGATGGAGAGGATGACTGTTCTGACAACAGTGATGAGGAGAGCTGTGAGAACACAGGTAGGTCTTGGCAGGGGGAAGCTGCATTGTTTGTTACAGCTAATGGCTCTGAATTAGACATCATAGGTAGCTAAGCATTGATTCCTCCACCTCCTCCTTTGCCCTCCCTTCAGCAACAACTTCTGGTATGGAGACTGCACTTACTGTATTAGTCAATAACATCCCTGTAATACTGACTGAAGTTCAAGTGTCCATGCTGATTGTTTTAGAGCTATCAGCTGTTATAGGTACCTTTGTGCAGGAGACGCTAATCCTGAAAACGCAATTGCACATGTAACCACAACTACAAGGAGTCTGATAACACCACTGGTCCTCACCCCAGTAATGAAAGTATCTAAACAAAAAGTCAAAGGAATGATGACCACCAAGAAACCAAACCAAACCTGCAGTACCCCTGAAATAAAATATCAGGGTTAGGATGAATTGATACATCCAACACTATAATAAAGCCAACTTTTTGGAGATTCTTCATTAAACAGCCAAGACCTACCATAAATATGGTGAAGGTCAGCTGATAACAGTTAACTGATGGGATCCAATACACACTGTGACAAAGTTTCTCCTCTATCTTGGTGGGTCCTGCGCTTATTGGCGGATTTTCTTGCCTCAGAGATTCACCATGTGGGTTGGGGAACAGCCCAGAGACCTTCCCCTCTGGAAGAACCCACAGTCCAGGTCAATTGGGAGGTTTGGGGGAAACCCGGGCCCGCCCTCTACTCCGGGTTCCAGCCCAGGGCCCTGTGGCCTGCAGCTGTCTATAGTGCCTCCTGTAACAGCTGCATGACAGCTACA